TTAACAGCATATTAAAAACTATAAAATACTTATCAAAGAATCCCTTGTCCCTGTGACTTTACTATATTCATTGTCTTCAATATATCCTTGGCCCTGCTATAAATTTTAGTAAATCTATATGATTACATAATAGACTTATAGTCGATTCACCTACTCTTATATATTTAAAATTTCCTGATCATTTATTAGATCCATTATCAACTCTAATTAGTATAATAATTGATTGAACTAATTAAGGTAATCATTGTAATTTCTCATGATCTCACCAACAAATTAAGAACTCAATCCTAATATCTAATACTCGTGACATTACTAGTAGATTGTCAATCCAATTTCTGAAATCTCTTACTTATGGCATAAATTGAGTTATACATTAAACTACCAACTACCACATCAACATGATTATGTTACATGTGACCAAAAAGACTGAAGCATTCTAAATCAAAGTCAAAGAAGCATTGAAGTTAAAGTACTAGATATAATCGAAACAAGCAAATAGTAAAAAGGATACAGAAGTCTTATTCAAGGTCATATACAATAATTTAAAGACTCAAAAGACTTTGGAACCAAGTCAACCATGCCTCTATTTGAAGCCTTCTAATTCAAAAGTCCTAGGAGTCTTAAATATTGACTCTAAGATTTGAAGCATTAAATTGATAGATTATATAGTATTTAGAGAGTTTGAATTAGTCATTAGTGTAGTTTTAGTATTTAAAGTATTAATCACATGCTCTCAATTGGTGGTGACTGTGAGATACCTACTTTAAAAAAAAACAAATTCAAAAAAATACATTTACACTAAATTATTGAACTAGCTATGAAATTATATCAGATTTAGATCATTTCAAAGACAATCAAACAATTAATAGAGAACCTGTTAACCACAATAATTTACTAGCATGCCAAAACAACTAGCCAGACCAAACCCTGCTTAAGACATTCAAAAAGAGATAGCTAGGGCTTTTAGAGAAGTTACTATTATTGACATTTTTCCCACTCTTCGCAAAAATAACTAGGTATGCATAAGTACCTTTAAGGGTGAAGAAGACAAAGATCCAGTCAAGTGGATCGAAACTTTCGAAAAAGTAGCAGACACTAATAATTAGAATAGGCAAGAAAAATTAGAATTGCCTCTAGCCACTTGTTAAAAATTGCTGCAAGTTGGTACAATGAAAAAAAGAAGACCTTCTTTTCTGGAATAATGAAGATAATTCTGAGGATAGTTTTGTACAGACCTTTACTAAATATTTCACAACTCTGAAGCGAAAACATCAATGGCAAATCAAATTAATTACTCTAAAGCAAAAAGAAAACGAAAAAGTGAACAAATACACCTACTAATTCAAGAAACTCTTGAAAAGAGTTGATTCGGACTAACAAATCCCTGTCACCTATGTGGTAAGAATGTTAATGGGAGGATTACACGCAGGATAGCAGCCTTATGTCAGCAGAAGAGCTTGAAACCTTAGACTAAGCAATTGCCAAAGAAAGGAAAATAGAAGCTTGCCACTATTATAAAAACAAATACAGCAGTAAGTTTACCGATAAGCTAATTAATGACTTAACTCAAAAATTATAGCAAATAGCCACCAATTATGAAAAACTCACCACTATCTAGGCTGCCAGAGTTGAAATTACCCTGCAACTGCCCCAACAACAGTATCAACCCCAACAAATTCAAAATAATAGCATTGAATGCTATAACTGTCGAGGAGGAGGTCACATTGCTAGGAATTGCTCTCTAGAGTCATGACAAAGTCTTCAATGACTTCGTATAGACTTTCATAGGGCCCCCATATAAACAAGAAATGTTAGCTTATGTAATTTCTGGGACCAAAGCCCCGGAGACAAACATATACTATTAAACAACATGAAAGAATTGAAAAATGAAACCCAATAAGATGAATGACTTAGAAAAAAGTTAACTATAGGCCCAATTAGGTTAACTAGCCCACCTTTATAGAAGAAATCGATAAGCTAATTAATGACTTAACTCAAAAATTATAGCAAATAGCTACCAATTATGAAAAACTCACCACTATCTTGGCTGCCAGAGTTGAAATTACTCTGCAACTGCCCCAACAACAGTATCAACCCCAACAAATTCAAAATAATAGCATTGAATGCTATAACTGTCGAGGAGGAGGTCACATTGCTAGGAATTGCCCTCTAGAGTCATGACAAAGTCTTCAATGACTTCATATAGACTTTCATAGGGCCCCCATATAAACAAGAAATGTTAGCTTATGTAATTTCTGGGACCAAAGTCCCGGAGACAAAGCATATGCTATTAAACAACGTGAAAGAATTGAAAAATAAAACACAATAGGATGAATGATTTAGAAAAAGAGTTAACCATAGGCCCAATTAGATTAACCAGCCCACCCCTATAGAAGAAATCGTGTTAGCTCTTGCCCAACCATCTGCTCAGCCTCAACCAGAAGCTAATAACCAAATTAGATACAGAAGGGCACCTTCGACTGTTGATTTAATACCACTATATAATATTGTGGCTGATCTTTTAAGGCAACATATTAATGCCACTTATGCTTAACTGTTGCAAGTCCTGAAACAAAGACAGAACCTAGTATAAGCTCTGCACCATCTAATTGTGGCTATAGCAGAAGATATCAACTATGCAGAAAATAAAATCACACAACGAACCACAGCAGCCAAGTATTATGTTAGAATTCAAAATAACACAATTTTAACCATTCTAGACTCAGGTGCTGTAGTTAGCATCATCTCAATGAAGCTAGCAAAAAGATTTGGCCTCACCATAGCAGAACCATCAAATACTATAGTTATTACTGCCAATGGGTCTCGGGAGCGAACCTTAGAAAAGTACTAGGGGTAAAATTGGCTGTTCAAAATATAGTAATATCTACTAACTTTCAAGTACTCAAAAACCTGACAAAATAATGCTTCTAGAGATGAATTGGTTCTAAAAAGTCTATGCCTGTCTCTACTTTGACGAGAAGAAGCTTGTCCTTAGATATTTAGACAAGAGTATAAAAGTCCCTATTTATCAAGCCAAAGAAGACCAAGTAAAGCTATCTGAATTTATAGAGAAAGAAGAGAAAGACTTCTTTAACCAATATAAAGAAGAAGATAACATAAAAGAAATAGAAAGCTTTTATATAAATGATGAGCTTATCTATGACTTATTGACTAAGGATAACCCCACCATATACTTGATGGCCATGGAAGAGCTTCCAACTCTAGTAAAGAATGAACAATCTGAGTTAACACTAGACAAAGTTATCAAAAAGCTAGTACAAACCAAGGGATTAGAAGAAAACCAAAAAAAGAAGTAAGACATATTTTAAAAAGATTCCAGGGGCTTCTGTCTATGGGCCTACACCAATTGGGTTAGTACTAGAAAATACAGCACGAAATCAATATTAGTGATGCTAGACCCATTAAACAACATGCCTATCAACTCTTCTCTAATGCACAAAACTTTTTGAATAAAGAAGTAAAGAATTTACTAAAGAATAGATTAATCTACGAAGTCAAAAGCCTGTAAGCTTCACTTGTTGTAATAGTGCCAAAAAAAAAAGGCAAATTACGATTATGTATCGATTATAGAAAACTCAATGTAATCATGAAAAAAGATCCTTTTTATAATCTTGAATTGACAACCTCCTGGAAACTTTTGAAAAGGCCACCTGGTTTTTATTATTAGATTTAGCTAGTAGGTATTGGCAAATCCAGATAAGACCTGAAGACCAAGAGAAGACTGCTTTTATAACAAAGCAGGGCACCTATGCCTTTAGAGTTATGCCCTTTGGGCTATGTAATGCCCTGGCAACGTTTCAAAGAGCTATGAATAATATTCTTCATGAATATATTAGTAAATTTGTAGCTGTATATTTAGATAACATAGTCATTTATTCGAAAACCTACCAGAAACATCTAACCCATTTCACAAAGGTTCTAGCTAGAATAGAAGTAGCTGAATTAAATTTAAATCTGAAAAAATGTGAATTACTTAAAAATCATATTAGATTCCTGGATCACATAGTAGGAAAGAGGGTATTCAACCAGATAAAACTAAAATAGAAAAAGTTAAGAACTTCTTTACACCAACCAGTATAAGACAACTAAGGGACTTTATTAGTCTAGCCTCTTGCTATTGATGGTTTATACCAGGTTTTGCTTCTATAGCAAAACCTCTACTCTGTACAGATGGAGCTCAGAACAAGAACAAGCCTTTAAAATACTAAAAATCCACCTTACCATGACCCCAATTCTGAGGTACCCTAACTTGACAAACTATTTTACCTATACACTGATGCATTAGGTGGTGCCATACTAGCACAGAAGAATGAAAATAAAAAAGAATATGCAATCATATATGCAAGTAAAGGTCTTACTAGACCCGAGAGAAATTATACAGCCACAGAACTAGAATGCTATAGGCTATTGAGTATTTCCACCATTACCTAGAATACAAGCCCTTTATAGTTATCATGGACCATTCAGCCCTAAAATGGCTTCATGATATGGCCTTGAAAGAAAGAAGAGCACAATAAATTCTTTGCCTACAACCTTATCACTTTACTATAATATATAGACCAGAACAAATCTATAACAATGCTGATGCGTTGTCAAGGATGGAGAAGAACCTCCAAAAAATAGAAAACAACAAAACAAGACAATTAGCCATTATCAAAAAGCAGCCCATAGTAAACTTACCCAAGAAGACTCTAAAATACCACCAGTCGAAACAACAAAGGAAGTTGAAGTATTTAGGGCAATTTCCCAAGAATACTTTATTGAAGACTCTGACGATAAAACAAAAATAACTCCTTAAAAAAACAATTATAATTGGAGTGAATGGGAAGATAGTAGTGAAGAAGAAAATGAAGCTGAAGAGTATGAAGAACTTACCAACCAAGAAATAAAACGTGAAAAGTATATACAAGCTTTTCTAACTGAATTGGTCCTGGAATTGAAAATAGACATAACATGGTTAATGAGAAATGAGTATCAAAATGAATATGCCAGTAATTGACACCAAAATGAACCACAACCTATAGACTTAGGAGAAACCTATCTAATTGATATACTCCAATAGGGTGAAACCAATGAAGAGCTGGAATTCGAAGATAGTAGTAACAAAGAGTATGAAGATACTGGTTATAACTACTATAATCTTCAACTCGGTTCCAATTATTATTGGTGGAATACCAATGAAGATGAAGAGGCATACCCCAAATTTACTGCTAATTTAGAAGACCCGGAGTGGTCCCAAGAGCTTGATAAGTACATTAATTGGGACTATAACAACTTCTAGTAAGAGTAGCTTTATACAAAGTTAATTTACAAAAAATTAATTAGGACCAAAAATTAAAAATCCAAAACAAAAAAAAAAGAGAAACTTAAAAAAAAAAAAAAAAACTTAAAAAAAAGTGAAAAACTTAAAAAAAAAAAGAAAGCCTAGAACTTTAATACTTATCTTTTTTAGTTCTTGGGCATTCAAAGAAAGCTTAACATGTAATTCAACAGATCTGACACTAGAGTGAGGATAGTCAGAATGGAATAGAGTAAGTTGTAGGGCTCTATTCAAAAAAAATCTTTCAAATTACCTAGTGAGAATGATTGGGCACTATTTGAAGAATCTGCAAGCTATCAGTAAAAAATATTAAGGCCTAATCCAAGCCAAAATGAAAAAGGATATTAACCAATTACGACTGGCTTAAACCATTAAACTGAGCTTCAGAGAACTAGAGACCCAGATGATAACCTGAATAATTGTATAATAAATCAAAATACATTATACATGTTAAAAACTGACCAAGAAAATTAATCAACTCATTGAGAAAATGTACTATCAAATTAAGAGTTGCAACAGTACTAGACAAAGCTAAACACCCTAAGACGCATCTAATAAGATATACAAACAATATTCTATGAGGGTCTAAAAATTGAAAGAAGAACCAAAAAAGTAAATTTCTATATATAGTGTATAGAAGATATAACTGCAGAAAAAGGAAGGAGCAAATCGACTAAATCCTAGAAAAGAAAAATAGATGGTTAAAAAAATAACTACAGGAAAAATAAAGATTTACAACAATACCCGTACAGTATTGGGTATTGTTATCAAACCAGAATTGAATTAAAAAAGCTAAATATTGGTGAAATAAAATTATTTAATCTAAAGACACCAAAACAAAAGAGACAATTAGCAAGCCAGAAAAAATCTTAGCTATGAAATAATCAAAACTGGGGTTTTTGAAAGAACACGGAAAATTAAACTTATCATTACAAAAACATGAATACGTATCCACATATCTAAACATGCCAAAAACCTGACATAAACTCCAATTCAGCCCAGGTTGTCAGTATCCTGGCCAAAATCAAAACTGAAGAAGACCAAATATCGATTATTAAAGAAGTTAAACATGGAACCTCAACTATATTCAGCAATAAAAGCCTACCTTTAATATCAATGATATCCACAGTTCTATAACAATTAACAATAAAAATAGCTAGAAAGGCAAAGCCAATTTTTCTAAGTTAAAGATGGAAACTTATATAAAAAATCCAAAAAAAAAAAAAAAGACCTGCTAAAAGTATTACAAGAAAAATTATTAACTTTAGCTCATAACTACCCACAGAAGCTTATTTCGAAAAAGATGCAATGTTTAACAAAATCTGTGATTATTATTACTGGCCTCAGATATATAGTAATATAAGCAAATATATTAAGATATGTGAGTAATGTCAGAAGCATGGAAGCAGAATATCTAAAGAACAACTTCACCTAATATCTGTCCAAGCCCCAATTTATAAAGTAGATATCAATATAGTCAGACCTTTACCTTTGACTCCACGCTCTAATAAATATATAGTTATTGCAACCAACTATATGACGAAATGGTCTGAGGCTTGTACAATTCCCAGGGCCAATATACAAAAAGTAGCCAAGTTCATATTTAATAACTTAATCTGTAGACATGGCTGTCCCAATATAATACTAATGGACCAAGGGTTACACTTTAATAATCATATCATTGACAAATTGCTTGTGGCTTTGAGTACTAAGCATCACTGCTCTACCTCCTATTATCCCCAAACAAATGGGCTTGTTGAGCATTTCAACAAAACTCTATGCAACTCTATTGCATAGTTGGTAATAAATGTGACCGATTGGGAATTAATAATCTCATCAATATTTTTTGTATATCATAAGGCAAAACAAGCACAACACACTAAATGCCCTTTTACTTGGTATATAGCAAATCAGCCCAGTTACTACTACATCTTAGTTTAACAGAAGATTTACTAAATAGGACTATTATTTAACGATTATACAAAATCAACACTAATCTATCTGCTACATGTGGGAATGCATTGGGCCAGATCAACGCAGCTTAGCAGAAACAGAAAAAATGTTATAATTGATGTACCAAAGCCACTAAAGACTTTAATATAGCCAAAAAAGTTTTTGTGCTAGATGCCAGAAATTGGGTACACATAGTAACAAACTTATGCCCAAATAGATGGGACCATATTATATTTATGCCAATCTCCTGAATAGTATATACTGTATAAGATAAAAAAATTAAATAAAAAAGTATTGACAAAGCCTCTAAATAATCATTGCTCAAGCCTTATTATGAGCGAAGCAACTAAAGAACTAGGGGATTCACATTAAAGTGCTACATAATGAGTGAAGACACTAAAAAAGGGATAAGTATAAAAAAAAAAAAAGAAATTTTTTTAAAACAAGAAAAGAAAAAAGTAAGAAAGAAAGAAAAGAAAAAGTGAAAGAAAGAAATGCAAGAGTATTTAAATGTGAGAAAAAGACCTTTCTAGAAACACTATTCTAAGTACACAAAAGAACAATATTATTATAAAAACAACCCCATGATCATCTACAATATGGATACTAAGAGTTGATTCAGCAAAACTTATTATTCCTGCACCTTTCCATATAACGAAACTCAAGGCATCACTACTTAACTAGCTCTTACTAGAGACAAGGTAAAACGAGCAAAAGCCAAAGGAAATCATATTAACATCTTGGTTTATGCATTCTATTTTGGTGCTAGTTTATTCACTGCTACTTCAATCGAAAAAATAACCACCAGAAAGAAGTATGGCAATTACTTCATTTAGGCTGCCACCTATAACTACAATTTGTTTGAGCCTTTCAGGGTTGAACAAATTTATAGAACTACTTATATCTATCTCCCAAGCTCGCAAGGTTGTCTCAGGAACAATTTGAGAACTTACTTTAGAAAGAGCTTGTGTTACAAGAACTTTTTAGTGGGGAGAATTGTGACGGTGATAAAAGTGTATTATCCTACTCGTGATTAGGTTGTGCTAGTATCTTTATTTCTATTTTTAGTATAAATTTTAAATTATATATATAGTCAACTCTCTCTAAATGCAGCTTGCCAGGACCTATAAAATTTTTCTAAATAAAAAAAATCCTGCATTTAGAGAGAACCTGCACTTAGAAAATACAAGTTTATTATAACTTTATATAGCTTGGGACCAAAAAAAACTTGCATTTAGAGAGAATTTAATATGACCTATACTTAGAGAACATGCACTTAGAGAGAGTTGACTATATATTTTTAGTCATGACAATTGTGATTTTCTTTTATGGTTAGAAAAAAGTGAGTGAAGTGAGTGAAGTAAGCAAAGTGAGCAAAAAGAGTGAATTTAGTAAATTTACTCATATTTTAGCTTGTAAATTTAAGTATATAAGAGTATAATGTTCACATTGAATAAAAAAACAACTTATAAGAGTTTTAACTTTGAAATTCTGATAGTTAAGTTGTTTCTCTTAATAATTGTTCGTTAATGTTATTTTGAATATCCAAAATTGCTATAATAAAATTGCTATATTCATAATTAGTATTCCAAAGTTACAAGTCAATACTAAATGTCTTGAATCGCTTTTTAAAAACACAAGTACCAAAATTTGGTTTCTTTATTAACAGCATATTAAAAACTATAAAATACTTATCGAAGAATTCCTTGTTTCAGTGACTTTACTATATTCATTGTTTTCAATATATTCTTAGCCCTGCTATAAAACTTAGTAAACCCATATTGATTGTTAAAGTGAATGTAATAGACTTATAGTTGATTCATCTAATCTTATATACTCAAAATCACTAATCATTTATTAGATCTATTATCAACCCTAATTATATAATAAATAATTGAACTAATTAAGGTAACTATTGTAATTTCTTATGACCTTACCAGCAAATTAAGAACACAATTCCAATATCCAATACTGTGATATCACTGGTAGATTATTAATCCAATTTCTGAAATCTCTTACCTATAATGTAAATTGAGTTACATATTAAACTACCAACCACTACATCAACTTGATTATATTACACATAACCAAAAAGACTGAAGTGTTCTAAATCAAAGACATAGAAGCATTGAAGTTAAAATACTAGATATAATCAAAACAAGCAAATAGTAAAAAGGATACAGAAGTCTTATCCAAGGTCATATACAATAATTTAAAGACCCAAAAGATTTTGGAACCCGAACAAAGTCAATCACACTTCCATTCGAAGCCTTCTAATCCAAAAGTTCTAGGAGTCTTGTATATTGACTCTAAGATTTGAAGCATTGAATTGATAGATTATATAGTATTTGGAGAGTTTGGATTAGTTATTAGTGTAGTTTTAGTATTTAAAGTATTGGTCATACAATCTCAAAGTATATACATATTAGTGTTAGGGTTAGAAAATATGGGCATGTTGCAATAGAAAGAGCTGAAACTCTCAAAAAACCAAAATTTGGTTTTTGCCATATTTGGATAAATTTTAGTGTGCACTACATTTTTCAATTATAAATGAAACCTCATTTGCATAATAAAAAATCGAGTTAATGCGAATTTTTAAAAAACATTACATGAAATGATCGCAGTCTAAAAATAGTAAAAAGAAACAAAAAATTGATTGATATCTAAAAATAGCTAGCCAATAAAATTTTTCACCTTTAGTTAAGGTGTTTGGATCTCTTTTTTAGCGATAAGTACAATTTTTTTCTTTTTACTATATTTAATTTTTTTTACAGAAATTAAATTTTCTACTCTTTTTTTTATTAGGCCTGGGTCTTATTTGTAACATGAGCTAACAGCCGGAAGAATGAAAAATTGAGAGCCTATCTACTGGGTACTATTTTTTTTCTCTTCTGTTCTAATTTTTTTTCTTAATAACTAATCTTTTTTTTATAGCTTGGCAGCAATATAGAAGCATTGTTGCTCACTTTACTTTTCCAAAATACTATTTCTCTGACTAAATAATTTCGACAATACTTTTTCCCGACAGGTCCTATTTTCGACAGCTTTGTTCATTTCACCGATAGCTTATTTTACCGATGCTTTATTTTACTGATAGTTTATTTCTCTGAAAAGTAATTCTGGTTACTGTGTTAAAGTCAGGTGTAGATTTAGAGTTAGGGCTAGTATAATTTTTTAAAAAATTTATCAGTAAAGTAATTGTTGTTAAATAAACTTCTCAGTGAATTGATTGTCAGTGAAATAACACAGACCTGTTAGTAAAATTGGTTGTCAGTATTATGACTTCAGTGAAATAGTATTTAAGAAAAATTGATTTCGAAAAGTTAACTTATAATAATTATATAGAAGCTGTGGTTAGCTGGGATTATAATTAGATCTATATCTTTTTTTTTTGAAATTGGTGCCAGCTGGATATTTAAACCTGTAAAGAACTGGCTTAATAATAAGTTGAGTTTCTAGATCTAAGCTTCTTTAGAATCTGAATCGACATTGAGGAATGCACCTAGTATCACCACCAAAATCAGTTACATAATCGCTTTTTAAATTTCAATTCGCACAAGAATAATAGAATCACGAGATCATAAGGTTTTTGAAGAAATAATCGAAGGTTTTTTTTTTATTATTATATTTATCAACTTATTAGAATTTATTTAATTATCACTACAAGTTACAAGTCAAATTACACTCAATTAAAATATATAGAATACATTTTAATCCAAATTCAAATTTTATTGAATATATATATAAAGCTTCAAAATTAAATTTTTTATGCTATTAATAAAAGGCATTCAAAATTTTTAATGTCATCTACTATTTTTTTGAATAGGGTTAAAGTTTGATTCAATACTTTCGAAGCCATTTTTTTTGTTTGAGAAGATTATTTGACTTTTTAAGACAATTAAGCGGCTAAAACATAAAGTTGATAAATAAATTTATTTAAACATGTAAATATAACGAAAAAATTTTTATACTTCATAAATAGTAAATTTCAGAATCGGGTTTACTATCTTTAGTACTCGATTCTTTATTTGGTTTCTGGATTTACCAGATTAATCATTAAATTGACTTGTGTGTAATTGATTAAGATTGATATTCAGATATTTTCTCATAAAGTTTTTTTAGCTCTCACAATGTGAGAGGATATTGAATTGCATTGTATCTAAATTAATATACTGTAATATTATATTTAAAAATTATAAATCATAATATAATAACAATGAACTTGCAAAAGCTTCATTCATGTTATTTATTCTATTCATTAACTGTTTGGAAAATATCTACAACTATTTTAAGATTCATATACATATTGCTTTCTCTCAACATCCATAAGCTCTTCATAAACTATATATTTCAAGCTCTTTGGATTTTATAGAATTTTCTTTTGCTTGCAAATATCAGATCCTCACATTTCTGTTTTATGCTTCCATTTATACTTAAAACATGACTTATTATTATTTTGAAATGCAGTTTTTTTGGTTTCGTAATTCAACAAGATGAATAAAGTTTGTATTATATTTAGAAAATATTTTGTATTAAAATATTCAAAGAAATAAAAATTTTTATCGTAAACTGTTGTTATTATTCTTACATATATTATTAATCAAGTTTTGTTAATTTTAATTTCAATATCGGCAATAAATTTAAGCTCTGTTATACATAATTGGCGATACTAGGTGGGTCAATATTGAGGTTGTACCTGAGCAGGATATTAATAATTGACAATATGTATTCGTTTTTTCTGTGTTTAAAATTTTCTTTTCTTTTCTGAACTTTAGAATGCAAATTGATGCTAGACCCTGGAACGAAGAATTACTGCTAGTAGGTATTATTGCCTTTCTGCTTTGTTTTGTTAATATTGTCTCTACCATTTTTTTCTGTAGAGTTTCTAATGTTAATTGTTGCAGATGATTAATGATAGTGAAATTTGAGTTTTCAATTTGAAAATATAAGCCCTACCAAAAATCTATACTCTTTTATTAATAACTCTAAACTTACTTAATCAAAAAAAAAGCCAGCCCAAAAATTTAAAATAGTACATAAAATAGATTCAAATTTCATCATTATCCGATTTTATGATAATCTGCGACATCAATTCCTAGAACAATTATTCATTACAGCATGAAACTCATGGGAGGTAGATTGCAGATATGTGTCTAGCATATTTTGTAGAATTTGTTTGTTTTATTTATCTAAAATTCTTTATTTTTTGTTGTTATATTATTATCAAATATTTGAATTTTGCGTGATAATCATGTAATTATCATTAGCATAACAGTATTGTGAATATCATTTTCACATAGAAGCTACTGATCATTATTTCATGTATAATAGATATAGTGAATAGTTTGATTTGAAGTATTGTATAATTATGTAATATAAAAAAATATAATTAATATATTATAAAAATTATTAATAAAAATATATAAAAAAATTGGTTTAAATAAAATAAATTTGTTTAATTTTTAAAATTTTTATTAAAATTATTTTATAAAAATTTAACAATGGCTTCAACAAACACTTTATTTGATTTTGATTCTTTAGAATTACAATCTTTACAACAGCAAATAGAAGAATTTCAAATAACTTATCAATTAGATGTTGAAATAATATCTTTTAATAATCAAGTTGAACAAGATTTTTACAATCAAGAAGAATTTAATAAACTAGATATTTCAAATAGTTCTATTTTAGATGAATCTATTTTGAAAGAATAAATTTCAGATGAATTTATTTTAAGTAATAAACAAATAGATAAGTTTAAAAAAATTTATTCATAAGATAAAATTGAAGATATTAAAATTAATGATTTAGTTCAAAATATTAAAAAAAATTTAGATAAAAAAGATGAAGAAGCTCAATATAAAAAATTACAAACTACAATATATTGTAAAGAAAAATGTCTTTAAAATTTAATTTCTTATGAACATGCTATTACAAATTACCAAAAATTTCAAAATTTAAATAATAATCAAAAAGATATGTTTTTATTAGGAATACTATTTAACAAGAAACTACTACAAATAATCAAAAGCATAATCGACTTGCTAATAGATATATTTTTGAAGTAATAGAAATTTATAATAAAGCATTTTTAATAATTTATAGAATTGGAGAAAAATATTAGAAAAATATTCGATCTCATTTTATAGAACAAAGAATTAGTACAAGAATACATAAATTACAAGGAAAAACTAGTAATTTTGCTTTATCATTTGAAACAATTTTAGAAATAATTACTTTTATAATAAACTATGCAAATATTCATGGTTTACCTTCTCCAGATATTTATAATTTAATTTTAATTAAATTATTAGAATTTTGCTAAATTTCACTATAGGTAATTATTACTATACAGGTTTTGTATACTATTTTTGAACACCTAAGCAATCAAATTCAAACATTATAGCAATCAAATTCAGATATTAGCAATCAAGTTCAGATATAGTAACAATCATATTTAAACATAGTAGCAATCAAATTTGAATATTCTAGCAATTAAATTCAGACAGCAATATCTTGTAATTTAATAATCCAAATTACATGTTGCTAATATCTTTTGACTCAACAAGACAAGTTGTATAGTACCAACATTATTTAATTTAAATCACTAGATTACGAGATATTTCTGTTCAAATTTGATTGCTAAAATTTGATTGCTAGAATGTCCAAATTTGATTGCTACTACATCCGAATAATATTAAATTTGATTGTTATAATATCAGAATTTGATTGCTGTAATGTCCAAATTTGATTGCTATAATGTTTGAATTTGATTGCTTAGATGTCTGAAATTGGTATACAAAACCTGTATATAGTTTTTTGCTAAAATTTAAAGTTAAAATAATCTTATAAATTAAGGTTAGAATTAGTTTAAACTTTAGTTAAAGTAAATTTTTTGGGATTCTAAATATTTTTACTTAGAATCTCTAACACAAATTAATTATTACTTAGAATCTCTAATTCAAATTACTTAGTATATTTGAGATATAACATTGTAGTAATAATCACTTATAGTAATATTTAGCAATATTCAAATTATTTTATTATAATTAATTATAATAAATTTTACTAATATAGGATGACATTTTCGTCAAGATACTTTGGCAACAATTTTTCTTCCTTCTAGTGAAAGTTATACTTCATTATATCAATTATATAAATTAGCAAAAGAAGATCAAGATCAAAATATAATTCATAGAACTACTTTTTGGCATATTTGGAATAAATATATTCCTGAAATTAAATTTCTTTCTTCTCAAAGTGATTTATGTTTTAAATATAAACAAATGCGGTTTAATTCAAAATATTGGACTGATCAAAAAACTGAATTATTTTTATCTGAATGGAATAAACATTTTCAATGGGCTCAAAAAGAAAGAGAATATTATAGGTATTTATATAAATAAATTTTTGAATATAATGTATAATTTAAATTCTAATTTATTAATTAATATTTAGAAATTGTATTAAATTAACAAAAATTGCTTTAAAACAATTTTCTAATTTTTCTCAACCTAATGAACCAAATTCAATTAATATTGAAAATCATATATTATGGAATTTGCTGAACAAATAAAAATACCATATTCTTCACAACAAGAGGTATAAATTTATTATAATATAAAATAAATAAATTTTAATTTATAATATACTACAAAATAATTTTTTATAAAAGGGAAGTATATATTTTAAATCTTTATATAATATACAGCTTTTTGGAATTTGTGAAGATGCATTTCCAATTTAAGTAAATATTTATTATATTTATTTTATTATTATAAATAAATTTTTATTAAATTTTATTATTTTTTAGCGAAATTATTTAATTAAAGAAGAAGAAAGTATTGGAAAAGGAGCAAATGTAGTTATATCACTTGTTCATAATTATTTTACTCTTTATGGATTAGGTGAAACTAATTTAATTATAATTGTGCTGGACAAAACAAAAATAATGCTATGATTATGTATTTAGCATGGTGAGTTGCATGTGGATTACATACTCAAATTACTTATTCATTTATAGTAGCAGGACATACAATTAGTCCAGATAGTTTTTTTGGTCTTCTTAAATTAAAATTACAAAAATCTGAAGTTGATAATCTTGAAGATTTAATAAAAGTAGTTGAAAATTCAACAAATGGAAGATTTAATCAAGCACAAACAATTTATGATAAAAATAAAAACCAATTAATGTATTTTTATAATTGGACAGAATTTTTATCAAAATATTTTAAAACAATTCTTAATCTTTTAAAATATCATCATTTTATATTATATAAAAATAATATAGGCAAAGTAGAAGTTAAAACAGAAATTGATGAAGAAAAACAAATTATAAATATTATAAAATCAAATAATACTAAAATTGAAGGATTTCCACAACTAATTTTTTCTTCAGGATTATCAGCTGAAAGACAATAGTATTTAAATGAACAAGTATGTCAACATATTAAAGATTCACAAAAACAAGATGAATATTGTCTATTACCAAAAATTCCAAAGCCAAAAAAATCAAATTAAAAAATTTTTATTATAAGATTAGCAATACAATTTTTTAACTATTTATTTTAATTTGATTATTTTTTATTTATCTATATATTAAAATAAACAAAAAATATAAAATTTAATTATAAATATAATATACAGTTAGACCTTTCTAAGTACATGCTCTTGAAACTACACTTTAATAATGTGTATATAGAGAATAATAAAATAATATATATTTATTGAGGTCAAGTATATATTTGGGCCAGCACTTGAGCATGCATTTAGAGTGTGTATGCACTTATAGAGGGTGCACTTAGAGAGATCTGACTGTATTTTGGGTTTTATAATATTGCTAGTCCAATAGTTCTATATGCAAAGTATCAAATTGTGATTACAAATCATGTTTTGTAAACAAAATTTCAAACTTCACATAGACTGGCGATACATTGCTATGGTGATAAATTAAAAACCCATATATTTTACTATTAATAAAATATTCTTTATTAATTTTAATATTTATACTATATATGCAATAATATAATACAATATATTTTGTAGAATAATCTTTTGCATCATACAAGATATTGCAAGGTACAAAATTATAGAATTTTCACACTACAAATTTTGCAGAAGTGATTTTTTGTATTACACAAGCTATTACAAAAACATGGAATCAAATTACAAATACAAAATTCATCAAAATAGCACCAATTATTAAAAAATACAGAAATATGGCATAAAAATATATCATGAAATTAGAGGTTGGATCCTTTGAATATCCATCATGGCTATTCAGTAAATATTCGCGGGTTTTGATGTTCGTGAATAGCATTGAATGAATATCCAGATTTTGAATGGATGCTCATCTATTAACGTAACCATGAATATTCACGCGCAAATATTCATGAATATTCATGAATCAATTATAAAATTACAAACCCTCGACTATTCATGAATTTTGTGTAACCAGGTATTGATTATTCAATGAATATCTATCTCTAACCGTGAATATTCAAGGATCCGACCTCTACATGAAATTGAGTTTGCAAAAATTGACCCTAACACAAATAAATTAGCATTTATTAATATAAAAATCATTGTCGCATTTTGAAATCAAATACACAATAGTATTCCTTTATTCACTCTTAAAAAAACTTTATTAAACTCAAAATAATAAATAAAAACAAAAAAAAAAACTAAAAACATAATACTATAAGGGTGGTGCGCATTTTACTAACAATTGTTTCACTAACAATTAATTTATTAGCAAGTTCATTTCACCAATAATAAATTTACTGACAAGTTCATTTCACTGACAGTTATTTCACCTACAGCTCAATTCACCGACAAAGTAATTCTGGTCATTGTTGTAAAGATCAAGTTAGTGGTGAAATAGCTGCTGATGAAATGAACTTGTCAGTAAATTGATTGTTGGTGAAATGAATTTGTCGATGAATTACAGCTGTTTTTACAAATTCTGGGACATCCTAAAAAAATTTGCCGAAGTCTATTCGGCTGAATTCGATAAGCTATTTTAAAAGAACTTAGAAGGCTTAAGTTAGAGTAATTGCTAAATGTTTGAGGATTAACAGGTCTTCTGTGGGTCGAGTCCTCAAACAATTTCAAAGGTATGGCTGTGATGATGAATTACCATCACTTTAAATAAATATTATACTTTATAATTATTAAGACATTGTCGACAAATATTAATAAAATTTTGACCTCTGATTTCAACTTGTGTTGCATTTTTTACAACCCCTGATCGTATTTAAACTTTTTTTTTTTATTAGTGCCTACTCGTGTAATATGGAGTGTTACGTATTAATAAACAAGTTTGCTATACTATAAGTTACCAAAGATAATTATATAATAAAAAGATTCACAAAACGAACCTGAAGTTTATATGTTTATTAAACTTTTTTTAGTGAAGATCTATTAATTGGCAAGATCAGTTTTTGACGTAAATTTTTGTATTATACATATTGAATAAGGCAAAACAAAATTTTAATAAAGTGTTGAAATAGTTGACGTTGTGAATGTAATATAATATTGATCGGACAATGTGTGTAATAATAGTAACTCAATAATTTTTTTACGCACTAATCATACCGAAATCAATAACTTATTAAATTCGGCCGAATAGACTTCAGCAAATTTTTTTAAAGTGTCCCAAAATTTATGAAAACAGCTGTAATTATCGATGAACTAAGCTATTGGTGAAATGACATTTACCCATACCATAAACAGCTATATACAAACCTGGGCCAAGTCTATTCTATTTCTTTAGTTTTACTATTTGTATAACCCAAGTTTTTTACATTTTACTAAAATTTAATTCTATACTGTAGACCCGGGTATACACAGGGGATCTTGTATACATTAGTTTACAGTACTTATATTTCTCTATAAACAAATTCTGATGTTTTGCTAATCCTTATTCTAAAGAACAGTTATACGTCCTATGAAAAAAATAAAAAAACCACATTATGAGTAATAAGAATAAAACATTAACAAAAAGAAATAATACAGACAAAGAATGCAGAACTTGTCAATACGCCCAAATCCATCATTCTATATTGAGATTCAATTGTATTTATGGTAAAAAAAAAAGTTAGTAATTATACTAACAATAAAACAGAAAGACCAAAGAGATACTTACACGTTGCTATAAAGATCCAATTATCAAATCCAAGTTCTAATATTAATTTCTTATTCTGGCCTACAAAAAGCAATGAATGTTAATTATATCAAATAGAAGCTAATGCAAAACAAAAAAAAAAACTATACTTATCATTAGGCTAATCACCAACTCACTGCCCAAGAACAATAATCATTGACAAGCACTGTTTTCTCAAAACCAAAATCTATAGAAAGAATACGTTAGTTCTATTAATAAATAAAGTAAACACAAACAAAGAGAAGATAGTACTTATCATTTTTTAAAATTAATAAAGCTTGCCTTATTATAGCAATTTTCCAATCTTTAATCATAGCTGCCATCCTAATCTAATTGGCTAAAACTTTTAATCTATTTTAATTCAGACCAATAGTAATAACTATTTGAAAGCAACTTTAATCCTAACATACCTGTCCAGAAAAAAAAAAAGAGATTTAGTTATGAACTGTCGTGAACAAGTTAAACTGCCAACCAAACAGTGCCTACCTTGAAAATAAGAACCCGGAGAAAAATAAATGACAATTAGAAAAGTAAAATTAAAAATGCTTCAACTATCATGAATGTTTCAAATCGAAAAAAAAAAAATGTTAACAAGAAACAATCAAAAAGAAACAAATAAATAAAAAAAAAAATACACAATTGGTGCATAACCTTTGCTTTTACTGAACGAATTAGTTTGAAAAATCTAAAAGAAAATATGTTGAAATCAGCGAAAAACAGCAAAAATCATAAGTATTTAATAAATGCCTAAGTAAATTATCTACGACTAACATTGAGTAAAATAAAGACAAAAAGTCAAAAATTACAAAGAGCGATTATTGGTGAATCTATTTTTAGTACTGTGATTGGAATAGTCTATTTTTAGCACCGTGGATTGTCGATCAGTTTACATGTGATCAAAATTTCAAACCTGATTTTCTCAAAATTGTTTATATCCGAGTTTCGGCCCTTTCTACTGCAACATGCCCATATTAAAAATATTTTATTAGATAAAGATTTTGTACAGATTTCAAGTACTTAGACTATATAAAAAACTGTAATATACAACTTGCAAGTGGCATATAAATCATATAATTAAACAAAAACTTTTACTATCCAAAGTATTATTTAATATTTCTTCAATATTATTGAAGCCAATTGATATATTCTTTTATAAATCCAATATAGACAAGTACAAGAAATTTGCAATTATCAAGCTAAAAAACAAATTCAAGTTTTTTATATTTAATTTTATTAAATATAATTCTTAAACTTGTAAAAAAGTCCTTATATTAGCATATGTATTGCTAACAAATAACAAATAATTTATTAATAATCTACAACAAATACAAATATTTGCAATTAATGATATATTTATATTTTGTTATACAAATAACTTTTTTAATATATAGTGCTACCTGTAGAATAAATACTATCATGATAGTTATTAGAATTTATGAACTATGTTCTCAAATTCTGCAATATTTCTATTAAAACTACTATAATAATTAAATTTTATTAAAGAATTTTAAAGTATAACTATTTAATAGACTACTATTAGATCTTGTCTGCCTTATTTTATTAATCAAATAATTCTAAAGTAAATTTAATATTATAATCTTTTTATTAATAGGAAAAAATTATTACCATGATATAAAGATATTAAGTCAAAATAGGAAAAAGCAGTATTAAATTAAGTTATAAATTGTAAAACATCATAATCAAAAAGTATAAAATACAACTGTAAATTCTTGACCAATCAGAAAAATGTTTGCCTATATAGAGCATGGTTAGTTAAAAGGGGCCTTATAGCATTTTTTGCAAAAATAAGTTAACTATAGTTGGCTTTCTGTATACAGTTTATGAACAATTTATTATCAGAATAGATTGCCTATAGATAGCATTCAGAAAGCCAACTGAACATTGAAAGCCCAACGACAGGTTTTCTATTGATAGCACTCATATATATTTTTTATTTTTTGTATTAAGATAATTAAACAATAAATTCGAAAATAACATTTTATGTTGCAAAATGGTGTTGCACTTTTTTAAATTCTTTTTATTTTATTATATTATATGTATAGCTTAGATTTTGGATTTATACGGTTTAATATAAATATTGAAAATTTTATTAAATTAAAAATTTTATTTTAACTCATATATGGGGTCAACTGCAGCAAAACAGTGTAATGGGACAATCATGTGATTTTGAGAAAATTGCAATTGAAAATCATTACATGATTAATTTTAATATAACAATTACGAAAAAATAATTTAAATTTATACACTTTTTATTAGCATATTTTCCAAATTAAAACTATTTTTAGAAAGATAAAATATATAAGCAGATTATTATTACAAAATCTCAAAATTTGATTGGTTGGCCCATTACACCGTTTTGCTGTGTGGGACCCCATATATGCCTTTATTATCGTAAAAATTTCTAAAAAATTTGCGTAACAAAATGCAGAGTTATTTTTTCTTTCTTTTTTGCTAGTTTCAAATTTTAAAAATGACTTAGGTCAATTTGGAATATTTACCCTAGGTGCCGCACAAAAAATGCGCGGCAGATCCTCAATTTTGATTGGCTAACGGCCGAAGATCTTCGAAATTTTGGTCCGCATTACAAAATTATTTACTAAATACCGGCCGGAATTAACTTTTTAATTTTTTCATTACAAACATAGAAATTTTAAAAAATAAGCACGCATTATGGTAAAATTGACCAGGAACAATTTTCACTTAATGGGCGGCTGCGATTCATTAGTAAAATTATGAGTAATTCCGGCTTAATTTTTTTTAGCCAAGGATCTGCCGCGCATTTTTTGTGCGGCACCTAGGTACAATATTTGGAATCGACTTAAATTTTGAAATGATGCAGAATATTGATCTATCACATGTATATTTAAATATTATCAAGTTTTATGAGAATAGTCGGCATCACTAATCTGAACGTGCCCAATACAAGCCCCAGCTCTAGCTCAAGCACGAGCATAATATAAAAATATTTGAACAGACAATTTCTTTTTAATTAAGATGAGTTCATAACACCACACTAAAAGAATACATGAAATCAAAATAATAAGCCCATAATTGGACTACAAAATAACCTATATTAACCCAAAGAAAATAATAATATATATATATGCTAATGAAGATACTACTCTAATTCATAACATTTTCTTTCACCGCATCAAGAATATTTAGATTTAAATACTGTTTGATATAATCAGTAATAATTTTACATATAGGAAATAAATTTACACTAATGTGATCACCATCTAATTCAATACAATCCAACTTTCCTCCATTAATTTCTTGTATTTTAATCCAAGATTTTTCTGGGAATTCAGGGTCTATACCTTTTCTTCTTATCTTTGCTTTGAAATATATGATTGGTATTGGTCTTTCTGATCTTGGTAATTGATATGTTCTCATTGCTTTTACGTTAAAATTAAATATATCAACAATTCTTTTTAGCATCATTGATGCTATCACAGAGCTTTCTTCTTGATTTTGTTTTATATTTAATGTTGATGCCTTTTCAATAACTATTCGCAATGCTTTCTCATCATCATCATCCATTTCTATTAATTCATCTAAATTATATGTTTTAGAGTAAATATAATGTAAAATTTTTGCAACACTTGTTGGTATTGACTTTGGAAGATCTTGACCAGCTGGCGTATCCACCATAATTAAATTTACGGATTTTCCATGTTTAATCAATTTGCAACCCATCTCATATGCTACAATTCCACCAAATGAAGAACCAAGAAGAGTATATGGACCAGTTGGATTATTTTTTAACAAATCTTTAAGGTAAATGTCAGAAAGATCTTGTATAGAATGATATTCTAGTGCTGTTGAATCTTTAAGTCCGGGATATTCAAACCCATAAACTGTTATATTTCCTAATGAATTAATAATATCTTTATAAAATACACAGGATCCACCTACTGGATGTATCATATAAATTGGCTTAAAAGCTTTACTTCCTCGATAAAGGTTTGTTATTGATGTTGACATATTGAAACTATTATTAATTGTAGGCAAACTATTTGTGCTTAAAACTGCCTTAATATGATTAGTTAAATTAAGAGGTGTTGGAGAATTGAGCAAAATATTCGGTGATAAAAGTCTAATACTGAATTCTTTGTTTAATAAACTAATTAACGATATTGCTAAAAGAGAGTTACCACCACAGTCAAAAAAATTACTATTTATATCGATATTTCTCAAACCAAGAGTATTCCTAAAACAAAGAATTACTCTGTTTTCAATTGTAAATGAATTGTTGTATTTTATAGGTGGCTGTTGATCTATTTCATTAGATGCAAATCTATCAGTATTGGCTTTTACTAATGCTAATGGTTTCTGATAATCTTGCTGGACCCAATAACTACAAGTATGGTTAAATGAATATCCAGGCAATTGAATAAGTCGAGTTTTTGCCATCAAAGGACAAATGTGCTTATAGTAATTATGCCAATTGATTTCAATTCCATTGCTCCAGCAGTTTCCAATTATTTCTTCAAAACTAGTTTTGTTAGAATCAAAACTATTTATGATCACGATATCATTATTTAATATTCTTTGAACTAATTTACTTGTAACAGTTCCAATTCCAACATTAACAAATATTGGATTAGAAAATGTTGAATTAATAGTTTTTATTCCAGCTTCAAATTGGACAGTTTTTCGTAAATGTTCTCTCCAAAATTTTGTAGTATACGCATCTTCAACATTAACCCATTTTCCAGAAGTATTTGAAATAAAAGGAATGATCGCAGAAGTGTTTTGTTGGAATGCTTTATCAAGTAATGAAGAAATTTCTATTTCAAATTCATCTAAAATAGAATCTGTTAGATGCGAATGAAATCCATATGCTCCATTAAGAATTTTGACATCATAATCTTGGGTTTCAAGAATTATAGCTAATTCTTCAATATAATTTGATCTCCCAGAAAATATACATTGCTTCTGTTCATTAATTGCAGCTAAAGATATTTTTCCTGTCTTTATAAAGTTGTCTGCAAGTTTTCTATCTAAATTAGTAGCTAACATTGAACCCTTTTCTATTTTATGCATAATTTGTGTTCTTTTTAGTACAATTCTTAAAGCTATATCAAGTGAAAATACGCCAGCAAGAGTAGCAGCTACATATTGTCCTAGGCTATGCCCTATAATTCCAGAAATTTGTACATTGAAAACTGATCTGAGAATTTCAGCTGATATGTAACTTGACACAAAAATTAGTAAAGGATCGTATGTTACATCGTAAATATCCTTTTCCAAATAACTGGTAAGATCTGGTATTGTGGAGTCATATTGTTGCAAAATATTTGCACATTCCTTGAACTTTTCTTGGTACAATATTGATGATTTGTAAATATGACGATGGATTGAAATAGAATGGCTACCTTGCCCAGGTACCACAAAAATTATATTTTCTTTAGGAGATGTAACATGTACTGTTGATTTTGATTGTTCAAGCTGGTTTATTGCGTCAGAAATTGATGTGGCAGTTATCATGCTACGGAATTCGTATTGAGCTCTGCCAATTTGAAGAGTTCTTGCAATATTACATAAATTATTCAAATTACATGTTAAGTCATAACCTTCGAAATAGTTCTTAAATTCCTTCTTAATGTTATTTAAACTGTTAATAGATTTTGCTGAAAAAGGTAGAATAACTCTAATGTTCTCTGTATTCATTTTATCTTTAAAATCGTAATATTCCTTTTTGTATTCGGCTAAAATACAATGCCCATTCGTTCCACCAATACCAAATGAGCTGACTCCTGCATATATTGTTTCTGTCTCATTGAAATTTTGCAGCTCGGATGCAATATAAAATGGACTGGATGAGATATTTATTAATGGATTAATTTTTTCAAAATGACTCTTTGCCATAGGTGGTATAACACGGTCTTCTAATGCTTTAATGGTTTTTATTAATCCGGTGAATCCAGCTGAAATATTACAGTGGCCAATATTTGATTTCACAGAAGTTATAGCACATTGCTTCTTAGTTGTTGAAGAGAGTTCAGTAAATACTTTTGTAAGAGCTTTAATTTCAATTGGATCACCAAGTTT